ATTGTTTATAGCATCACTTTATATTGTCATATTTTATGACTATTGTTTTCAATCTCTTACTGTGCCTAATTTATGAATTAAATTTTAATTACATACGTAATAATAGGTATGTATGAGTAGGAAAACCCCAAAGTAGTATATGTTCAGTATCTTCTGAAGTGTCAGACATCCACTGGGGTTGGGGGGGGCGTCCTCAGAACCCATTTTCTATGGATCAGGGGAGATTGCTGTATTCTTAAGCCATCTGAATGGTCTTGCCAGAGCATATCCTTTTTAATTTAAAATGTACTTTTTTGTAACTTTTGAAAGACTCAAATCCTTAACATATCCTATAGAACTCATTTCTCTGATTTCATTTCACATTATTTTCAACCTTGTTATCTGGGATTCTCATTTTCCATCCCTGAATTGAGTAGGTGGTCCTGTAAAATGCATGGTTAGAATCTGGAAAATCGATGGGCCAAAGTGACTAACATTTGAAAGACAGAAAGAGGGAGAAAGGAGAAAAGGGGTGGAGGGACAGACACAGAGAAATGTCAATTACCACAGAATATATTTTGTATTTACCTTAGAACAGCCATGAGCTCATTGAATTAACCAAATCCTAACATAAACTTACTTAAAAGGTTGAATGGACTAGGGATTTGAAACCCATTCCTCCCTATTCCTATCTCAAATTTGAAATATAATAATTAGATTAGCAGTCCTCACAGTGGTTCAGAGTCTCCTGGGGGGGTCCCTAAGATCATTTTTTGGGATCCACAAAAGCCTCCCTATTCTAATCTGGATGAAGCTGGATTTTCTTCATACATTTCAACCCAAGCAGCATACTGCAAAAACTTTAGTACAGAAGCACTTATAAGATTCTAGCTGTCTTATTATTAGACTAGACATTAAAGAAATTTGCAAAAGTGTAAAACAGTGCCACTCTTTTCACTACTTTTATTGTTTATGAAAATATAGTTATTCTTAATAAAATTGTGTTCCTTACTTTACCATGTAATTCAAGGGTCCCCTACCCATTTGCCACAGACTTGAACCAATAAAGGTAAGCAATGAAAGTTTCATTTGTATTTACAGCAGCTGTCCTTCTCTTTAGTTACCATCTGAGCTCTGCTTACTTCAGAACAGCAGGGCATTAGATTCTCATAAGAATGTGAATCCTACTTTCAACTGTATGTTGGAGGGATCTAGGTTGCCTACACCTTTGAATCATGCTGAAACACCCCCACTCCCACCCTGTCTGTGGAAAAATTGTCCATGAAACTGCCCTGGTGCCAACATGGCTGGTGCAATGGTTTATCGTTGCTATTTTTAAATGATTTAATAAAAACATCTTAAACATTTCTGATTCTATTATAATACCATTGATGCTATTAATAGACACAATCCACCAAACCAAAGCTGTTTGGTGTCTTCAATACTTTTGAGAATGTGAAACCATCCTGAGACCAAAACATTTATGAACTGTGACATAGAAGAATCATTTCTCTGGTTTAAGGCTGATCTTCTCTTGAACTTCAAATATGTAGGAAGACAGTAGTAGAAAGAACTGAGACTTGAGGTTAGTAGACCTAGGCTGGGAAGCAGGTGCTGCCATTCACTTGCTGTGTGAACTTGGGCAAGTCAGCTAGCTTCTGAGAATCTGTTTCCTCCTCTCTAGGCTCCAGATAAAACCTCAGTGCATTATTTTGAGAATAAAAGAAAAGGACACATGATTGTACTCTGCAGAGTGCTGGACACAGTAGCTATGTGTGTAGCATGCAGAAATATTCACTTGTATTTAATATTAATAAACTACACATTGGCGTGAGTTTGGAAATTTTTTTCAAACAGCTTTTAAGGGGAGATGTGGAAGAAGCTCAGCAACCAGCTCTCTGAGAAAAAGAGCTCTGCTTTTTAGCATTTGCTGACTTCCATTGTGCAAATACTCTCACATTGGCAGATTTCAGTGCCAGTGGGGAAGAGATTGGCTCTTGTGAGCAGGCATGAGCCAGCTTTAGCATACAATATTCTGGGTCCTTTTATGGGATAGGGAAGGAGGATACATATGAAGCAGGAAAATAGTCTGGGGTCTGAGAATAAAATTCATGCTACTTCAGTATTTTGTCTCTAGTCTATGTTTAATTCCCAGTTTTCTTTTTATTTGATTTAATGTTTGAATCAAAGATACCATGAAGACTTGGGCATCCAAATCATCTGCCAGAGGCTTTTGTAATTCTACCAGCTGAGTAATGTTTGGGGACACTGCCTGGAAAGAGTAGTTAAAACAAGGCACAGGACATACTAATCTAGTTTAAGTGTCCCTGGGAACAGATATAAGACACTGAAATGATGCTATAGGGCAGAGGATCTCAAAAGGTGGTCTTCAGTTAAGCAACCTGGTAACACCTGGTTGTTAGAAATGTGGATCATCAGAACCCACCCAGCCTTACTGCACTGTCTACTCTGGAAGATGAACCCTGCAATTTGAGTTTTAACAAGCCCCTTAGGGGCCCAGGGATTTAGCTCAGTGGTTTTGCCACCTGCTGTTCAAGCACAAAGACCCGAGTTCAATCCCTGGTACCAAAAAAAAAAAAAAAACCAAACAAACAAAAAACAAGCCCCTTAGATGATACTACCTGTTCTTTAAACAACTCTAGAAGTCTGAGGGTCAGAGGAGGCAAGCCAACTGCCGTGTTTTCGAGCATAGATGTGTTGAGCATTTTGGATATCCCAGGTGAGTGAGGCACAATCAACTGAACTGGGTATAGTGGATGCTGTTGGCTGGTACATCCATCCCTTGCTTTCTGTGGAATGTTGGCTGCTAAGTCCCATTTTCTGGAGAACAGCCAGGACTGGCCCACCATCAGCTCAAAAGCCTCCTCCTTTGCTTCAGAGGGAGACAGGCTGTGCTATAACTCTAGTTCCTTGAGGTGTAGACCAAAGCCAGTCTCCACGTGGGACCAGATTCCTGCTTCCTTTTTCTTCCTGCACCAAGCTGCTTCCCTCATTCTCCTGAAAGCACTCCTCACAAAAAGTGCCTCAACATGAATCTTAGTCACAGGCTCTGTCCCTAGGAATCCTGAAATGAAACAGCAGATTTCAAAGATAGACCATTTCTGAGTTTGTATCTAAATTTTCCTAATTACCACCTATGTGACTTTATATGGGTTAGGTAACCTCTCTGGGCCTATTTTCCTGTGTTAAGTACAGCTAATAATGCCCCTTCAAGGGTTTGCTGTGGAGTTGAAGGGATACTGTGCAGTGTAATAGTTGCCAGTGTAGTGCCTGGAGGGTGGTGTGAACTGTTCAGAGCCCCTTCAAATTCACTGCCTTGTCCTCTGGCCTTGATTCATGTTTTTCCTGCAGTCTGTTCTCTTTGTGGGGACTCCCTGAGTATCTCGCACCAGCCTACCTCATCAATGACTGGAAGTCAGAAATGCTTTTTCAAGTGGTGAAGTACTTGGCAGGACATGGAGTGCAGGCATAAAGCATAAACAGACATACAATTGAAGTTGGAAATATACTAGGAGGGGTGTCTGGGAGTTCAGAGACTAGGAGAAGGGTGTTCCAGCCTGGGAATTTCCCTGGACTTTCCCATTCTTGTAGCCTTATAGTGAACTTGGAGAACTTGGAATTGCCAACCTGGCTCTCTCCGAGTCTAGAGAGACTGCTAAACAGGAAGGAAAAACAAAACAAATATAAACAGGTGAATGTTGGAGTAAACTCACATCTCTGTCTGGTTTTCACTGAAAGTCCCTGTTTGTGACTGAGATCTGAACTTCTCAGTATATCCTCCCAGTGGCCTCTGACCAGCCCATTTTAAGAGCCCTCATTTTTCCAGCACCAGCCACCACCAGCTTGTTGATAAGTATATTGTCTGTCTCTCCTGCTACAACCCCTTGAGTAGAGTGGCTTGGTAAATCCTGTCCACAACTATCTCCAGTACACAGTAGGTCCTCAATAAATTCTTGGTCTTGGAGCCACTGGGATTGTTAAATATTGCTAGTGAGAGTTTGGAAATATTGCTGGAGACCGAGACCGAGTGTACACCTTCCCAGGACACAGGCATTCCGTGCCTTGGTATTTATCCACAGAAATGCAAAGGTGCTTGCCAAAAGTTAGGTACTAGAATGTTCACTCCAGCACTTTTTGTAACATCTGAAAGCTGGAAGCCACCCCAATTTTCACCAAAACAGAATGGATAAATTGTGGTATACTAATACAAAGAAATATTATATGGCAATGAGAACCAATAACCTTCAGTTGCTCGCAAAAACATGGATGTATCTCATTAACATAAAGTTAGAGACCAGACACAAGAGAGCATATTCTCTATGATTCCACTTGTATAAAACACAAAACCGGGCAAAATTGATGTTGGTGTTAGAAGTCCTGGTGAATGAATGGGGTTTGTCTGGAGCGAGTTGCGGTTGCTCATCATGTTTGATTTCTTTACCTTAAAAAAAGGCAGGAGGTGGTAGTGGGGGCTGGGAGCCAACCAGCCTCACCCTACCTGTTTGCCTGGAGCGGTGCCAGGGCAGTGAGGGCGCAAGGGGGCCGCCGGAGGCGAGTGGGAGACAGGGAGGCGCTGCCCAGCTGTGGGGCTGGAAACGCCTGGAGTGCAAAGCCAGGGCAAGCACCCGAGCTAGTAGCAGCGGGCACTGGGGGCGCCCTCTCCTCAGCCCGCAGGGCGCCGCGCTGTGGTCGAGGCCCAGGGTCGGTCCTCCCCAGGCAGGGCTGCGGGGTCTGGCTGCGGGGTATGGCTGCGGGGCTAGGGCAGGCCGAGCTGTGTGCGGGAGCTCAAGGCCGGAGCTGGCAAGGGGCTCCACTGTGGCCAGAAGCTTGGGACCGAGCCGCGGGGAGTGCGGGGGGAGGGCACCTGTCCCCGGGTGACCCGGGCCGAGGAAGGGCGGGCCGTGGGCGGCGGGCCCGGGACGGCGGCGGGCGGAGACCAGGGCCAGGCTGGGGTCGAGGGGGTGGGCGCCCAACGGGCCCGGCGCCTGGTGGTGGCGTGAGTCTCCAGGAGATGAGGCTGTGGCGAGGGGAAGTGTGTGTGTGTGTGTGTGTGTGTAAAGGGGGGCGTGCCTGAGGGGCCTGGGCTCGGGGAAGGGTACAGAGAGGGAACTTGGAAAGCCCAGAGCCTGGGAATGGAGGAGGTGGAAGGGCAGAGCTCTCTCCACCCCCTAGCCCAGTACTAGGAGAGAAGAAAGGACAGGGGACCCCAGGAGCTGGGGTTGGGGAGAGAGAGTGACCCTGAGGCAAGCGGACGCGACGCGATAGGGAGCCCAAGAGAGGAAAAAAGGGACGAGCACGTCTGAAACTGAGGGTTAGGTATTAGAAAAGGGCAAACAACAGCCATGCTGAGATGCCGCTCGCTGCTCGGAGAACCAAGTCTCAAATTTTGCTTCAGTGGCCTTGGCATTTAATGCATGAATGGCGAATGGCGTCTATGCTAGCTTAGGCAATGTGATATTTTCAGTAGCCCTGACCTCACCAGTGGCGCAGCCTTCTGGGCTGGCTGTTGGTTCCTAGCCGCAAGAACTCCTGCACCCACCATTTGCCAGGTCACCAGGCCTGTACACTGTCCCGCGGGAGCTGGAGGGGTCACAGAAGCCTTTGGCTGACGGGGTGTTTTCACCTCCAGTTTCACCTCTTATCTGTGCTCCAGGGAGGAGACTGAGGTCTGGAGTCTGATGGGAGGCACGTGGGAGCAGACAGGTCTCTCATCCTTTGGCCCAATTTCTCCCCAGCCCCAAGCCTGCCTTCGGGGCTGGAATCAGCATGAAAGGAGAGTAAAAAGTGCGGATTGTGCCCGAAGATAGTTGGGTCTGCTGTAAGCTCTAATGATGAAGGCATCGCCAAAAGGCCACTTAATTTCTCAGTCACCACAGAGGAGGGAATCTGACTTTCCTGAAACGATTTTAATTTTTAACTGTGTAAGTATTGACTGTAATGTATAATGTGTAATTATTGTATATGTAATGTATATGTATTGACTGTTGTGGGGAAAAAAAGATTTTGCCAATACATCTCTTCCATTTTTACCCATTTCCTTCACTTAGTTCTATTTTTACTTGGTCAAAGAAACACCTGTATCATATACCCAGAATTTCCCCCCTTAATTGCAAGTTAAAAAGGAAGAGATAAAATGGAAAGCATGCTGGAGCACTGTCTAGAAGGCATTATAATATAAAAAGAAGGGCACTGGGTTGGCTTCTGGGAGATCCGGAACCTTGCTTTGCCACTAATTTGTTGGTTAAGAGAGGCTATTTTTGTGCTTCTGTTTCTTCAGTAATGTGCAGGTGTAAGCACAAGTGACCCTATATCACAAAGTTCCTTTGGGGGAGATTAAAAAATTTTATTCAAATAAATTTTCCTTATTTATACAGTTTGATATTTAATTCACTGCTGTTTTAAGGTGATGAATAAAAGTCAGCATATATTTCCTTGCCCTGAGTCACCTTGATTCTCTCATGATACTCAAAGTACACTGTTGATGCCTAGCAGGCTTTGTGTTCAGTTTGTACCATTTGCAAATATAGAGAGGCTTACAGTGGAAGTGAGGGAAGAATGGCTGCAGGATTCTTGGACCAGAGAATCTCACACTTCTTTTTCCATTTTCGTTCTCATTAGCACACAACTCTTAAAAGTTGGCCTGGGCACAGCAACACTTTCACACATCCATACTAAAATCCATGCTAATCTTTCCCAGGGGATGTAATTCAGTTGAACTGACATTCTAATAAAATACTGGCAAAGACACAATCACAGTTTCCTTGCAATGCATAATTAAACTAGCACTGTGCAGTTGCTTATGCCTCAGATAATGGCTTCTTTACGTATTGTTGGTTATGAAATTTTAGGGTGTTCGTTCCTGGGCATTTTAAAACTACTCTTTTAAGCAAAGTAGTTATAATCTTAGTTTGTCATTGCTAGGAAAGCAACAAGACCTGTTTGCTTTCAGATTGGTTTGGGACAGTATTGAACATATCCAAATTTCCTTTGTGTTTTTCTGATAGTAGCTGAGTTCTCTCTGTCAGATTTAAATCATTGGTACAGATTTACATTTGTTTGGAGGCAGTTTGAGCCTATTATCCACACAGCATTTGGGGAAATATTAATTAATTAATATTAACTATTTTCTGAGAAGCCAAAGACAAGAGGATTTGCCTTGGGTAATGAAATACAGAATATTTTTTTCTGCTCTTTTATTCCAAAATGTTTTATACTTATAAAGCTACCCTGATTTAGCGCCGCCATTGATAACCATCTATAGAAATACTGTATACTTTTTGTTTCTTCACTTCACTTTTAGGTTATGGTTGCTGAATGTACAACACTCTTTAGTTTATGAATTAATGCATAGTTAAACTGAAAATTTCACCATTGGTAGTTTTGTGGCCAAGAAGACCTGGAATTTTGAGAAAGGTCTTGGAGAGAAAGAATGGGGTCCTTTGTGGATTCCTACACATTTTAGGTGAAGCTTGGGTAACTGTACACCACCCCCAACAATATAATGAGGTCATTTTTAGCAGTGCCCTGAGATGTTCTCACTCATGAGACATAATGTTATCAATTTTGTCCTTTGTGATATTAATAATCTATTTAGGAATGAAGGCTGAGTCATAGAGTGCCTCAGAAAGGAGGTGAAGCTTATTGATAGGGCTTGGAAAGGTCACATCATTTATTTGAGCTCAAGGCACCTAATCATCCTTGATTCACTCACAAGCTCTAAACTAGATTTATCCTCCAAAGGTGAAGTAGATCCTGGGTGCTTGGACCAATAAGGAGGGCATGGATTGATTCCTACAAATGGAAAGATAGTGTTTGTTTTTGAAGGATCTTTATATATAGCTTGATTGCTGTCAGCCAGAAGGAAACAAGAGGGTCTTCACCATTCAGGGCTACAAACCAAACAAGAAAGAATTTCTGCTCACTGTCTGCAAGGCTTCCATGCTTACTGCAACCTACAAGTACTTTTATTGGGGTTCTTAAAATTAGAAAAATATACTTCTTATTTTGCTTTCATTTTCCTCAGAGATTTAAATAAAGGTCTCCTCCATCCCAGAAAATAGCACCCTGTTTTGGTGGTATTAATGAAAATTAGGTCCAGGACCCAGAAGGGGTACATGTACATCTGGGAGCTGTGCAGAGTAAACAGTTAAAAGAAAATGTAACTCAAAAGAGATGTGAAGGAGCTATGGACTTTTAATGCATTGGAATTTCTCCTTTGTTTTCCAGTGAGGCCTGCTGACCCATGAGACCTGTGGTATCTTAAATATGGTTCCTGGCTCCCTACCAGTTGTTTTAATTAGGCAAAGTAGGCTGCAGTAACGAATAGGTTCCCAAATAAATAATGGCACAAAGAACAGTCCAAAGTTGTTCTTGGCTGGAGTGCAGAGGTGACTATTCTCTCTCTTGTAGTTTTTCTGGGACTCTGGTTTCTCCTGTCTTTGGCTCCTCTGTCTCCTAGGGGCTTATTATATTTTGTGTCTTGATGAAAGGGGAATAAAGCTGGGTACTAACAGATTTGAGCTCAGAGTGGCAGACCTACATTTTGTTCCCCTTTTCCTGGCTGGAACTAAGGCACCCTCATTTCTCTTCCTCCCTATGAGAAAGCTTAGGGTGTATAGCACACAAAAAGAGGAAATGGTATTGTGGTGCTCCTAACGGCTGGGTCACACCCTCCTGGATGCCCAGATGTTGTATCACAACAGCTAATGTTTATTAGTGCTTCCTAAATGCTAAGGGCTTCTTATACAGTGTTTTCACTTAATCTTTTCAATCATCCTGTGAGGTAAGACATGATTTCCTCTTCATAGTGATGAAATTGAGGTTTGGAGAGGTTAAAATACTTGTACAAAACCAAACAGCAAATGGAGAGCAGAATTCACACTTGAAATATTATTTGTCATGGACAGGGGTGCAAAGGCAAGCTCACAAGTATCTTTCCCACCTTTGCAAAGAGCTTAGTAACTGTTTTTCCTTCTCCAAGCCTTCCTTTAGAGATCCTGAGAGGGGAGTGGCTGGTGGAAGAATTGGAGGAGAGAGGTGATTAAATCACCTTAAATCTGTTTTAAAATTCTCCATTTTCAACAGCTTCTTTTTTTTTTTTTTTAACAATGCTTGGTACTGTGAGAGACACTGGCACCTTTTTGGGGCCAGCAGAGTAACAGAAAGCAACTTCTAACAGACTGGGTGGTGTGGTAAGGTAGCAATTGTATTTAAATTTCAGTATCAGTAACAGGCTGGAACCACCTAAAGCAAAGGAAGGAAGGGGTATCAGGGTACATTTTCACTGCTTCAACTGCCCACAGGGCTAGAAATGGAAAGTTTTATGTGAAAGTTTATTTTTACAACTTGAAATTTTCCTCTACTTTGAAAATTAAGACAGCCTAAGAGAGCCTTATATTTGGGCCAATATAGCAGCAAATTTATGAAGTGAAAAAGTGGAGATTTTCATGGTGTCATAAGCTCACCCACACTGTACATAAATTTATTGCTTAGAATGCTCCAAATTTAAGGTTTATTATAGCACAAGTATACTATGAACAAATTAACTTTGGATTTCAGAGTTTTTGAAATCAAATAGTATCTCTTCTTGGTGCTTCTGTAATCAGAAACAACAATGAAAAATTATGGTCTGAAAAGCTTCAAATTTTGTACCTACCTGGGTATAGAAAGTTGGAAACATCCATTTCTAATTAAGGCACCAATTTGAAATTTAGCATTTAGAATTTATTTTAAGCAAAATCAATATGTTGATGATTATTTTCAATGCAGAAGGATGCATAGGTATCTATAAGCTCTGAAATTCAATTAATAAAGATGTCATCGAAATGAGACTGAAAGTATATTTTTAAAGGTGATCTTCTAAACTTCTTCCTGGAGCTCTGTTTATCCTGACCTGGCAAGGCTGCTGTATTTCAATTCAGGGCTTCTTTTGCATACAGAAGTACAGACTTGCTGAGCTGAGCCAAATCTGTCTATCCAATTACCGGGTAAGAGAGCTGACTGTAGCTTTCGGCAAAACCTGTAATCTGTAAAACTCTATAGTATCAGTGACAGCCTAATGAAAGGGAAGGGCCAGTAGAGTGTATATGTTACTCGAATGATACACAGATGCATGGCTCTCTCTACAAATATCCCACTTCAAATCTAACACCAAAGAGCAACAAGATACATAGGGCCTTGAAAAAATATCATGTGCTGTGTCTACCATAATTTTTAGCTAGGATGACTTATAAAGGAAAAATTCTCAGCAATGTATTGGAAATCACTAAGCTGAATACTAACAAAAAAGCTTTTATTACATTAATTAAAAATCTGATTTAGCAACTCATCTCAACAGCTGTTTTACAGACTTTGTAATATTTGGTGACTTATGATTTGCTAAAATTTTCATTATATGTAAAGAAAATCAATCCAAGGGTAATATTTGATTATATTTTGTCCTACACAAATAATTTCAATCTAAAATAAAGTTAATTTCTACATACTTAGAAGCTAGATGCATAAATTATGCAGACTGTATGATACCACATATAACATTTAAAGACCGGCAAAATTTATTTATCATGGTGGAGGTCAAAAGAAGGAATATCTTTAGGGAGAAAGGAAGGCAGAGTGTTGGAGGGCTGGAATAGCAGATTTTTCAGGTGCTTATAATGTTCAATTTCTTGACTCAGGTTCTGGTTACACTGGTCTATTCATCTTGTGATAGTTTATTCAACTGTCCACTCATTTTGTGCACTTTTCAGTATATGTGTAGTAAGCCAATTCAAAAAGTTAAATATATATTAATCTGTATAATATGATATCAGTGTTTTAATAAATACGTTTACAGGTTGGTTATATTCAAGCCTGGTTTTATATTTGTAAAAGAGCTACTAAAAGTTTTATTAGAAACAGAAATTTAGATTACTTTCCTTTTTTT